CAGCAGCAGCACCTGCAGCAGCACAAGACCGAATCGCCATAGGGGCCAGCATATGACTGCCTTTCTCTCCCTCGTGAGGCGTTCTGCTGTGTTGCTGCTGCTGCTGCTGGTGCAGCAGCAGCAGCAGCAGGAGCTGTTCGATGCTGCACCTCCGAAGGGAAGTGGACAACGGGAGCTAAGGGCTCATCGTTTCGGCTGCTGCGGTCGCAGCAGAAGCAGCAGCAACAGCAGCAGCAACAGCAGCAGCTGGTGCTACTGGTGTAAATACACCGGGCAGTCGCAAACAGCCGCTTCAGCAGAAGTGTCTGCTGATGATCGCCGCAGCTGTTTTGAATATCGGCGGAGGGCGAGCTGCAGCAGCAGCAGCAACAGCAGCAGCAGCAGCAGCAGCAGTATGTCCTTAGCCTTGCTTCGGGCTAGCTACAAGTATTAGGGCGCGGACAGGGGCTTGCCATCAATTAGTATGCAGGATAGAGCTAAGAGGGGTGATGTTTTTAGGAGGGGAAGAAGTGTCTCCTCTGCTGTCTCTATGTTGCTGTTTTAGAAACAGCTAACCAGCTTGCATGCATGCATGCATCGGTCTCCCTATGAGGGCTGCCCCGCCAGACCTGCTGCTTCTCTATTAAACAAAGGCCTGAATTAGAAGGATTGCTACATCCTATGAAGGCCTAAGCTCCCCTCATCGTTCAGTGTATAGACAGAGGCACCTGCAGCAACAGCAACAGCAACAGCAACAGCAGCAACAGCAGCAGCGGCACCGACTCGACTGAGAGCGTGCTTACTGCAGCAGATGCTGCCTTGTCTGTATAGCGCAGCTGGGGCTGCGCCCAGTTGCTGCTGTGTGGAGTCTCCCTGATGTAGAAGAAGCATTTTGCTGTTTTTAAAAGGGAAAAGGGGCCCTGAAGCAGCACATGGCACGGCGTTGGGGTGTACGTACACCTCGGGAGGCAGAGGGGTGTTGAGGCGTGCATGCATGCATTCGGAGAAGAGGAAATGGGTTAGCTGGATCGCTGCAGCAGTGTATATACACCTGAGCAACACGGAGAGGCCCTGCAAGCGCCAGTGTGTTTGCATAGAGGTGAAGGGCTCTGCATCCTCCGCGTTGTTTTGTTGTCTGTACACCTGAACATTTAGAGACACTGTACATGCTGTGGGGTGTGGGGTGGGGGGGTGTCTTCTCTGGAGACGACCCCACGGGGGCGAGAAGGGGACAGCTTTCATAAGCTGTGCGAGGAGAGACAAAAGGCGCCGCATGCTGCAGCTGCTTCTCCCCTCTGTGCATGCGGATATACAGATATAAACGCAAACAACATGAATTGCGTCTTCATTATATCTTTGGGTGCATGCACTAGAAGTTAGGGGCTGGGGTGGTTGGTGGTGGGGTTGGTGTGGGGTTGAAGACCCCCTTAAAAACCAGCTGTCTCCGATTGCTGCAGACGGCATTTTGTCTATTGGGGGGTGGAAGCTGTGACTGTCTGTCCCCCTTCATTGTTTTTGGCGTCCCTCGCATCAGCAAAGGGTTTGGTGGGGTGTACGCACAGCAATAGTTGGGGTGTACGTACAGTACTAGTTGGGGTGTACGCACAGCAGTAGTTGGGGTGTACGCACAGCAGTAGTTAGGGTGTACGCACAGTAATAGTTGGGGTTGTGGGTACAGTGGGGGAGTTGTTAGGGGGATAGTTGATTTATTTTAGACGCGTAACGGGGTGTACGTACAGCGGGAGAGCTGTGTCTAAGTGCTGCACTTCGTAGAGGAGACAGAGCACGGCAGCAGCTGCAGCGGGAGACACATCCGCATGCAAGAATAGGAGTGAGAGACTGATGGAGGGGCTTTCGTAGTTTGTTGCTGTGCAGCTGTAGCAGCGAAAGAAACAAAGTATGCAGGGAGCAACGCCCACAGGGGACAGCAAAAGGAGACAGTTGAACCCACAAAGGAGACAGAGGGGAGAAGCAGTGTCTCTTTAGCGTCAGTGTCTCCGCAGCCTCAGACTGATTGCAACCTGTCTCCTTCTTAGCTGCCGCCTCCTCTGCGTACACCTGGAGCACTGTTTCCTCCTTCCCCTCTCAGCACTGAAGGGGGAGGCGACGCTGTAGTAGAGAGCCCCCAGCACAAGACCCCTCAGAGCTAGTCCAACGAGATACAAGTGCATGCATGCGTGCATGCATGTTGGGCTCTATGTGCAGCCACAACTGACAAAGGCACCCCCTTTTGTTTAAGGCCTCAACTTGTTTTGTTGGGGCGTTCGCGGCATCAGCAGAGCGGCTGAGCATTATCATGTTGCTCCCCCCTTCAGACGCAGTTTGTGTTTGTTTTCCTCTCTGTCTTTGTTCGTGTCTGTCTCTGTCTTTCTCTCTTTGTCTCACTCTCTCTGTTTATCTGTACCTGCTAGTTTGTTTCTATGTCTGTCTGTCTGTGTCTTGTTGTGTCTCTTTTCTTGTCTCTGTCTGTCTCTGTCTCTCTTCCCGTTTTTCTTTGTCTGTCTCTGTTTGTTTTTGTTTGTCTCCGCCGTGGCGCCTCCTCGCAGCGCTGCAGCAGCATTGCGAGGAGGCTGTCTCTGCAGCTGTCTGGTGTCTCCTCCTCAGGTGTCTGGTGTACATACTGCTAGAAAGACAGTAAGGCTGCAGCCAGTGTCTTGGGTGTCTCTGTCCCCGTCAGCTGTCTCCTGTTAAAGTTAAGGACAGCCCGAAGGCCCCATCATCCCTTTGTATTGGGCGCAGGGGTGTGTGAACACCGCAGCGCACCACTAAGGTCCCGCGCACCAAACAAATGCGGTGTACGTACACCTCAGCGCCCCACACCTCAACACCCCTCCTATCTGCCGCCTATACTTTCAAACGTCAAAGTCACATAACATACATTCTCTTGCTTCCGGCAGCAGCACAGAACTGCGGTGTACACCCACTGTATACACCGCATGTGCTGCATGCAGCCAGTGCAAGAGGTAGTAGGACACCGCATCTTCTGCATGCATTGAGTAAGCGGAGATTATTATCCCTGTACATCTAAGGGCAGACAGAACCAGCTGCCCACTGCATCTCTTAGTTCTTTCCAAGCTACTTCTACGCTGTCGTTAATAAGTAACAAATCCCAGGGCATATCTCTTGCTGCTTGAAGCTCCTCCTTCGCTCTCTGCAGCCGCCGCTGCAGCTGCGCAGACACCCAAAGCACAGAAAAACAGCCAGAAACACTGCAGCAGCAGCAACAACAGCAACAGCAGCAGAAAGGGCGACCCCACCACAACGGGCACAGCAGCACCTAGGAGTCAAACTCCAAAGGAATGCATGCATTAGTGAGTTTGCTGCTGCTGCAGCTTGCTGCTGCAGCTAGAGACATCAATTTCAACAGTACGCTCCCTAAGGGAACCCGCTTCTCGAGGCGGGACCCCCCTTGGGGGCCCTTGCCCCCAATAGGGGCCCCCTCTTGGGGGCCCTTGACCCCACGGGGGCCCCCAATAGGGGCCCCCTAGAGTGTAGATGCCCCTGTGTTTGCTTACAACTTCTGGGGTCTCCGTATTGCGTTTGCGGAGTCTCCTTTCTAATTCAGCGAAGGAGGGGGGTTCTATGAAGACGAAGCGCGCACTTTTAAAGCCGCGGGCCCTCACGGTGGTGACACCAACTAAGTCAATTTCTAATAAACATATTTTGCCAAGAGAGCTGTACACGCATACACCTCAACATACACCTCAACATACACCTCAATGTACACCCCAAGGTATACCTCAGTATACACCTCAACATACGCCGCAACAGACACCTCAACACACACCTCAACATACACCTCAATATACAGCTCAAAGGACACCTCTACGTATACCTCAACATCAACATACACAGCAATGCATGCCTATTATATACATATATATATATACAAGTCTATATTATATATATATATATATATATACAAATGCAATAAAATAGGCCCCACTCTCATGGGCGGCTGTGTGCGCGTACGCAGAAGAAGCAACAGCAGCAACAGCAACAGCAACAGCAACAAGAGCAGCAGCAGCAGCAGCAGCATTGAGCGTACGCAATGCGTTGCAGCTCTGCAACGGATGTTCCGTAGCGATGCCCAGAGAACTCCGCGTGTTCTACAAAGTCACCGCGAGCTGCAGCTAACTGCATTTCTTCAGCGGAGACAAAAAAATATTCTCGGCCATTCTCTTCTCCTTGACGTGGAGGTCGTGTGGTGTGACTCACGGAAAAGGCAAAGGCCTAAAAGGAGACACCAGAAAAAGGAGACTGTAAAAAGGAGATAGTCGAAAAGAGACATTCAAAGGAGACACCAGGGAAAGGAGACACCAGAAAAAGGAGACGGTTAAGAGAGACGGTAAAAAGGAGACAGAAGGAAGAGGAGACAGTTGAAAGAGGCAATAAAAAGGAGACAGCGGGAAAAGGAGGCAGAAGGAAAAGGAGACAGCAGGAAAAGGAGAGTAAAAGGAGACACCCCTAAAGGAGACAGATAAAGGAGACACATCAAACTAAAACATCAAGAAATGAACAAACATGAAGAAACAACAAACACACGCAAACATCAAAAGGGGATAAAGAGGAGACAGAGAGGAGACAAATGAAGCGCAGGCTGCTGCAGCAAGGAAGGAGAACTATATAAATATATAATAAATAAATAAATAAATATATATATATGTACATATATATGCATTATGTATGTACATATATACCTGTATATACACAGAAAGAGACAGAGGGGAGGCCAGAGAGAGACAAACAGCGAGGCAGAGAGGCACAGAGAAGAAAACGGAGACAAGCAGAGACAACAATTGGGGGGGAGACAGGAGACACTGCCAGGAGACAACCTATGGAGACACTATAAGGACACACAGCACGGGGGAGGAGACACTAGAAGGGAGAGGAGACACCGAAGGAGACACTATAAGGAGACACTACAAGGGAGAGGAGACACTAGAAGGGAGAGGAGACACCGAAGGAGACACCGTGAGGAGACACCCCATGGGAAGCGAGACACTCGAGCAGACACTATACGGAGACACTGCAAGGGAGAAGAGACACTAGAAGGGAGAGGAGACACAAAATAAGACATTGTAAGGAGGTGCTGTAAGGGAGAGGAGACAGTACAAAACACAGAAAGTGCTGGAAAGACACCGCACAGAGACACCGCAATTCTATAGGGGGCACTTCAAGAGGGGAGGAGACACCAGAGAGAGACACTGAATAGAGGAGGCAGCAAAAGGAGACACTGAAAAGACCGAGGAGACACCAGAAAGAGACACCCTTAGGGGAAAGGAGACACTAAGAGGCGATGCTGCAAGCGAAGGGACAGTAAAAGGAGACAGTAAACTGGTGAGAAGACACAGTAAGCGGGGACACTACAAAGTGAAGGAGGCACTAAAAGGAGACAGTTAAAGGCAGAGAAGACAAAAGAAAGGGGAGGAAACACTGCAAGGAGACACTTCTAGGAGGGGGGAGGAGACACTGCAGCAGCGTGCAGCAGCCGCTGCAAGGAGAGCCCCTAAGGGGGTCCTTAATAGAGACAATAATATACTTCTAAGGATCTAGAGACAGCAGCAAAATAAAGTTTGCTGCTGCTTACCTCTGGCCAGTGCTGCCGCAGTCTCCTCACAAGCGTACCCTTTCCTACACCGCTGGGCCCTGCTATGACGAGCAGCTGCGGCTCTAAGGAGAGAGCAGTAGCACCAGTAGCAGCTGTTGCAGCAGCAGCAGCAGCAGGAGCAGCAAGAGCAGCAGGAGAAGCAGCAGCCTGAGGAGGAGACTGCCACTGAGGCGGAGAGAGAGATCTCCCGCTAGGGCTCCTGGGGGGAGCTGAGGTGTCTGAAGCAGCTAAAGCCTCTGCTGCTGCACGCAAAGAAGAAATGCCTCTCTCCTTAGCTGCAACCCCGCAGACATTTGCAGCATCCCCCATTCTATAAAGAGCAAAAGGAGACAGAAGAAAACCCAACAAGAAACGCAATTGCGAGTTACGCACGACGGGGATCAAGCTGCTGCTGCAGACGCCACTGCTGCTGCTGCTGCTGCTGCTGCAGTTGCAGTTGCAGATGCAGATGCTCCGGATGCTGCCGATGTTCCTAGTGCTGCTGTTGTTGTTGCTGCTGTTGCGGATCTTCTCGAAGCTGGTGCTGCTGCTGCTGCTGCTGCTGCCGATGCTGCGCCACAGGGGGAGAGAAGGCCGCACGAGATATCTGTTGAAGATAACAGCAGCAGAGTAAAGCCTATAATGCATCTGTTCTGCGCAAAGAGCCCATAAAACTTTAGAAGGAGAGACAAAACCCACCTGCATATACACCCCACCACGAACCCGGGCCTCGCAGCATCAACGGGGCCTCGCTCGGCCTTAACGCAGCAGCAGCAGCAGCGGCAGCAGCAGCAGCAGCAGCAGCAGCAACTGCTGCTGCTCTTGCAATGGCTGTGGCTTCTGCTGCAGCTGCCCAGAGAGTTTTTGAGATTCTTCCAGGAATATTTGTTATTATATTTATTAAATACTTCTTGCTAAAGGTTGGGGTTGAGTGTCTGTACTGTGCTGCTGCTGCTGCTGCTGCTGCTGCTGCTGCGTGCTGGTGTCTGTACAGCTGAAGAGGGCATGTACGGCAAGGAAGTGTGTGTATATAGATTTGTAGTCAGTTTCTTCTATGCTTTTAGCTTATTTATTGTTTTTCTTTGCATTGATATCTCTTAGTGCGCCTTCTTTAGCTTTTGTTTTATCTTCTTCTCCTGCCCCCCTAACAGTGGCTGGGGGGCCCCTCCCAGCGCTATACTCCTACAACAAACAGTCTGAGTCTGAGGGCCCCACCGTCTGCATAACTGCATGCAAAGACAGAGGCAGATTTATATGGGGCCCTGGGGCCCTACGCGTCTTGCTGAGGACGCAGAACTGCTGTGAAGGCCGCCACCGCAGCAGCAGCAGCAGCTGCAGCAACAGCAGCAGCAGCTGCAGCAACAGCAGCAGCAGCAGCAGCAGCAGCAGCAGGATTAGCAGAGGCATCTGTTTATGCGCGTGCAGAGTTCCTTGTCAGCAAGAGGTTGTTGGGAATAGGGGTAGAGGTGTTGTATTGTTTAATTCTTGTGCTTGTTCTTCAGTGTGTATCCCTGAGATGTCTGTACAGCTGGAGGTTAACGAAGATAGTAGTAGACCCTCTGCTGAAGATATTGAAGAAGTTGCGGTGTATGCAGACGGTGCTTGTCTTGGTAATGGGCATTCCTTTGCACGTGCAGGCATTGGTGTATACTTCGGCAGTGAAGACCCTAAGAACATTTCTCTTCCTTTATTGCTGGGTCCTCATACAAATCAAAGAGCAGAGTTAGCTTCATTATTAGTTGCTTTGCTGCAGTTTGAAGCAGCAGATGATGCAGCAGCAGCTGCTGCTGCTGCTTCTGCTGCAGCAGCTGCTGCAGCAGTTCGAAGCAGCACAGAAAAGAAACAGAAAGAGGTGAAGCTCGTAGTCTATAGCGACAGCGAATATGCAATAAAGTGTGTGGGGCTTTGGAGTAAACGCTGGCGTCTAAATGGATGGGCTAGTGCTGCTGGGAAGCCTGCAAAGAATACTGACTTAGTTCATGCAGTTCTGCTGCTATGCGAGAGACGGAGACAGGGGGCCCCCCCAGGGGCCCGGTGGAGGGGGGCTGTTAGCTTTATTCACGTTAAGGGGCATTCAGGTGTAGATGGCAATGAAGCAGCAGATAGGCTTGCTGTTGCTGCAGCAGCAGGTTCTGCTGCTGCTTCTCCTGCTTCTGTTGCTGCTGCTGCAGCTGCTGCTGCAGTAGGGCATACAGCAGAGGATGCAGAAAATGTTATTAAAACATTCAGAGGATTCCTTAGGGGTCTAGTCTGTTGTGAAAGAGAGCAAACAACTAACTACGCACAGCAGCAAATATAAACCCCAACCCGCAGCAAACCCTTTCAAACTCCTGCACGTATATCTTATACGACACGCAGGGGTGTGAGGGTTTAGGGTTTAATTTAGGGTTTAGGGTTTAGGGTTTCAGGCAGACTTATGGGGCGCGCTCAAGACAAGAAGGCCTCACTCCACGTCTTATTCTGCCGCTGCAGGCCCCAAACCCTAAACCCTAAACCCTAAACCCTCTTGTTGACTCTCTATAGCAATTTTTTTAAGTTTATTCATCTCTTCAGTATTTTTATATGCTCCTTAAGAGGGTAGTAGGAATTGGGTCTCTGTTTGTTTTTCTTAATTTTCTCGCTGGTGCCGTAGCAGCAAGCAACTTTCGGCGTTTAGTTCGTTCTTTAGGATTTGCATTGCTCAAGTGATGCATTGCTAGCTATATATATATATA